TGTTTCTGTAATTGCTAACCAGTTGTCTTGTTCATTCAGTTATCAATTGCATACTGCTGATAGATTAATTTATAAGTTAATTAGATAGGAACTTAAGTCTAGGAACTTACGACGCAATACTTTTTTTATTGGACGAAAAATTGTGTGACAATACAATTAGGATGACAGATTGTCGTGAGCTCCTATTTGAGAGGATAACGATTATTGAATAACCAATTGGACTGAACCGATAATGGTCGATATTCGTTGTTTTCATTTTATAATTTTGACTATTTTCATTCATCCGACCGATTCCTCACATTCACAGTACAAAAAGATCGCTGAGCAATCACGACCCATTCAACTATTTGCAACCAATACATAATTCCACATCGAATTCCATCATTATTATTTGAGTTTTATTTGGAAAATAAAGTAATATCACTTTACATTTCAAATAAATCATTGATATGATTTTTCTGTTCAAAAAATATACCATTAATTATAGTAATAAATAATAATTAATAACAATAACAATAAAACAGTAACAATAATATAATAATTAATAACAACAATAGTAATGAATATTATATACAGATAGTCAATTTCCGAGGACTGGAATATTACAGTTGGAGGGGAAGAAGAAGGATTGTTGACGTGTAACGGATCCATTCATTTGGTTCTGAATTCGGTGTACAAAAAATTTGAAAAATGTTGTCGAGTTTTTATTAGAAGAATAAAATGGGATGAAAAAATTTTAAATAATATTTCCGAAATGAACTTCACATCATCATTTTTCTGACAGCTTTCCATTCGGAACTGATCTTCCATCCTGAAAATCAACTTTGTGAACGAGACCGAAAGGTGTGTTTACCTATTTGCTTTAACTCACACGTCAGCGTACTTGCGTGTGCTATCATATAAAATAAAAGAGATTGTATTAATTAGTTTTTCTAGGCGCAGTTGGTTGGTTTATCGCTTTTTTGGGCGCGTATGTTACTTAGCTGATTTGCGTTAATTTGCCAATGAGAGGCTATCAGATTGGATAATTACACATTGTAAGAAGGTAAACTAGATGGATTGGAGAATGGAGATTACAACGAGATGGAGGATAAGTACGAGAATGATAGCTGGTCAGTTGGAAATTAAACTTTTACTTGTGATAGGGAGGTTGGATGTATTTGTTGAAAGCTGATATCATCCAACTAATCTGAACTGGATTGATCCATTCGGAGATAGTGGAAAGATGGTTTGCATGATTGATCATTTTGCTTCATCACGAATACAAACACAAATGATCTCTTGTGAACTCAAATGAAAATGGTTTGATATCGTGTAAGGTTGTTGCGAAATATTTGCAGTTCTTCATTTCATATCGATTTTCAACTATGACTAAGGTCGAAGACAAGGACGAAGTTTGTGGACAACGGAAAGACACTTCACTGGCTCGATTGACCCTACCAGCTCTGCAAACAGAGATTTCTCATTTCGATCGATGACATTTATTTAATCACTTTTCAAAATTTCCAATTCCATCACATTTTCCGTTCCTTTCTTTTCCAGTCAAAAAATATTGCAATTCAATGAAATTTGATTTATGAATTGCTGTAATTGCGATAAGAATACACAGTACAAAAGAATGAGACGATGTGTTTCATCTGATCTTTGATTTCACTTTCTATCGATTTTATTTTTTATTAACGAATCATTTCTGAATATCGACTAATCTTATCAATCGTTAAGGCATACATTGTGTTATGAGAATGTTAGATGGGACTTGAGTTGCTACCTATTATTCTTATCGAGAGATTGCTTTTCAGGAAATTTATCACAACCACAAATGCATCGAGAATTGAAAAATCTCAGATTTATCAATCCTGGTGAAGCAGTAGCAGTTTCTACAGAAGAAGCCTTGCATAGTAGGCAGGGAGTTCGTCGATCTACAAGACATCGGAAAGGTTTGTTTGCTGTATGATTTTTAGTGGGATATCTCCTGCACATTCTTCTAAGCTTTCACTACGATAAACATCTCGTATTTTACTCAAAATCATTTTTATTTAGAAAAAGAAATTCATTCCTCTCATTTCCATTATTGAATTGTCTGTTCCAAGTGATATTTTTGTTTTTTCAATCAATATTTTTTATTGCGAAATTATCAAACTACTTGAAGCCAGTATAAAAATTTAATTACCGTCAAAAATGTTTCTACTTTAATTCCAGGACTAAAATCTGTCAGCCGCACGACAGATTACTTTCCGCATCATGACGAGAGAGGCTATCTGATCAAGGCCGATGGTCATGGTGTCAAGTTATGCGACTGCTTGCGAACATCTTGCCCAGGTGAGTATCTTCAAAACTTTTGAATTTAAGATCAAGTTTTATGTTTGAATTGAAGATAACTAAATGGGGAATTTTTTTAATACTTTAAATTTCTTTTGATGCCAAAGAAAGGCGGCGAAAAATATTGTTTTTACTAACATCAACTTTTTTGTTCTAATGATTTTTATAGGAATCCAACTGTATATCTGAAATTTATACTTCCAGATTTGCATGTTTAGGCTGTCATTACCCATGTGAAAAATGTGGTTCACGCATGTGTGGACCAGCCTGTCAGAGGAATCGAGATTATATTATTGAAAATTTTCTCACTGAAACTGAACCACCTCGGTTTCGTAAACATCCTTATTATAGTCCGTGAAAGTTAAAGAGGCTTTGTGAGAAAGACTGTTTGTATTTTGTTTGGAAAGATTATGTAGCTACGTTTGTCATGTAATTTTATGAAAATTTAATATTTTAAAGCTAGAAGAGGAATTTGATTGATAAAACTGTTTTCTTTTTTGTTGATAAAATAGTATCGATACAACATGGTATATTTTTGTCCATTTTTTCCTCGATGCACAGAATTGCTGTTTCAGGTTGCTTCGCTGCTGTCAATTTCAGATATTTTCTTTAATTAATTGAAGCATGTTGTATAATGTTTCACAAGTCGACAATTATTTCCCAATCAGTCCATCCTAATGTTATTTACGGATAGGTTAAATCATCTTTATTATCTTATTCACCGAGTAATTGTGCCGTAGATTATTGGAATATTACGCTCTTGGTATTTAGTACCGGTTTTTAAAATAATATGGAGAAGAAATTGATTTTGAAATCTCAAGATGCCGCAGAGCACTGGATCTGTCATTGGTAGTTTGGGTTTAAGCTAACTCTTTAATTTTAGACCTGCGATTTGAATTCTGCTGTGACAATATTTTGTAGGAGATTTTCATGAATAATGCAGGCTTAATAATCGATATTAAAATATCAACGCCTGCAATCTACTGTATGTTTTTTTTTTGTTTTTTGTTTAATTAATGCATTTGTTCCCTTTAAATGACGCCTTTTCATGCGAAATATTTAATCCGTGTTTCAGTACATCGTGGTATGCTTTTCATTTTCAAAACATTTTTATGAAAGGAAGGTTATCCTGCAAGAAAATGACATTAAAACAAATTTTTGTTCACATTGGATAGAAAATCGGAGAAATACATATTTGAATTTTAACTCAAAAAATTTCTTCGTGATATGTAGATGTATGGTATATTTTTTCTGATCCATTCATAAAAACAGTGTTCCCAATAATTTAAGAAGGTCATTTAAGTATTTCATGCAGATTGCACAGATGTGCGAAATATCAGATATTTAATATAAGTACATTCTTTTCAAAATGAATATTTCCATTCACTTTTTATAAATTTAAAAGTCATGGACTGTAATACAACGAGTTAAAGAAACTCTTACATGACTTTCAAATTTATAAAAAGTGAGAAATTCCGTATGATTCGCAAGCATTGCTTAAAATGTTATAACCGTTTCATATGTATTGCAATTCATATTTTTGTGTTAATTTTAAATGCGCTTTTTTCTTTTCCATAGCATTGTACTCTTTCTCGTTATCGTTTTGTTTTGATTTCAATTTCAGATAGAAAAGAATAAATCTTTTCTTTTTTCTTCATACGTATATGATAATCTTGAAAAGTTTAATTTGGTTTGTAGAAATATAGAGTTCTAAGTGTGGTGGGAAAAAGAAGGTGTAAATTTCTTTAAATTATACCAAAACATAATTTAAGAAATGAAAGGTACTGAATTCCTTTTGTGTGTGATATATCAGAATAAGATGGGATCTCTTTTCTGGAAGTTCGTTTCTCTAATAAATCATTTTTTTGGAAATTAGTTTCACTGATGGGGTCTTCTTGGATCGTAGTTTCATTTCTCTCTCTCTCTCTCTCTCTCTCCATTTACTGAATATTGTGATTTCAGATTAGAAATGGGTTTTAAAAAGATGCTAGAACATGCCTTATGTTTTTAAATTTTTCCGCAGTTTGCAAGATTCAGAGAAATTGTCATTATTCTGTTTCAAAACATTTCATGGTGCGGTTTTACGGTCAGTTATTTGGCGTACTTGTTACTCTTGCGCTCTTCGTTACAGAAATTATTTTTTTCGAAGGTAGCCATCATTTCTGTTTTAGGACGAATAATCTAGCATGTTAAAGGAGCAAGAGAAAGGGCCCGTGACTGTATTGTTGGGTGCTCAATGGGGTGATGAAGGTAAAGGGAAAATTGTCGATTATCTGATTGAGAAGGATGAGGTAAAATTTCCATCTGATGATGCAATGTTAGTTGTATGAGTTATCGAGAGAGTCATATGGATTTCGTGAGGACTGACATCATAAAATTTTTTTTTCCAAACGGGAATTTAGAATATGCAAACGTATGAATTTTTAACAACCATGAAGTGGTTGTAGTTTTTCTATGCATTTCTATATTTTACTGTTTCTTTTGTTCTGCTGTACCAGTTTAAATAAGATATAAAATTGCAGGTGCAAGTTGTTGCACGGTGTCAAGGAGGCAACAATGCGGGTCATACTGTCGTTGCAAATGGACGAAAATATGATTTTCATATTTTGCCCTCAGGAATCATTGCTGAAAAGTGTTTCAATATAATTGGTAAGATTTTATTTAATTTTGGGCCTGTAATACTTTTATGGTAAAATGGAATTCAGTCTGGATTGAACACAGGTTAACTTGTTTTAAAACAATCCGCACTAAATTTCATTCTATCATTGTATTTGAATTTATCAATATTTTGATGGGACAGCATTTTAAGTTTTATTTTCAGGTAATGGTACGGTAGTAAATTTAGATTCGTTTTTTGACGAACTCAATCATAACAAAATTACGAGCATACCCGGGTGGGAGGAACGAATACTGATCAGTGATCGAGCGCATCTTGTGTGTAATATCCATATGCTTGTTGATGGTCACTCGGAGGATCGATTGAATATTAAGTAATTTTTATGAATTAAACTTCACTATCTGTTAGGTGTGCGTTTAATTGACTTCAAGCTGTTCTCCACTTCTCTGTCTCTTTTTCTCCATCAAATTTTTTTTATTGCTGTGAGCATGAAATTATTGTTTTTCAGCAAAATTGGAACGACAAAGAGGGGTATTGGACCCACATATTCTAACAAATGTTTTAGAAATGGCCTTCGAGTTGGCGACTTAGTTTACGATTTTCATGGATTTACTTTGAAGTATCATTACTGGATTACGTGTTCATATCTGAATTATCCATTCTATCTTACATACCTTGAAATATGAAATTTAAAGGAATTCAATTTTTAGATTTCGAGAGCTTGTTAAATATTATCAAAAGCAATATCCTGATTTGGAGATTGACATCGATCATGAATTGGTAAAATTCAAGGTAGCTCTATTCATTTTTGTTTAAATTAACCAAATCAAAAGATAGCCACTAAACTTGAAATTCATTTGTAGAAACACGCGGATAAATTGAATGAACTGGCACTGGTTGGTGATACAGTATTGGCATTGGATGAATTACGAAGCAGCGGCAAAACCGTACTTGTTGAAGGTGCAAACGGTACTATGCTGGATATCGATTTCGGCAAGTGTTCTTGTTGTAAATTTGTTTATGATAATATTTCAAATTTTTAACTCCTAAGAAACAGTTTGTAATGAAGATCGAGATTGTAGAGAGTTCAATAGTTAATTTGTTAGAGTCACACTCTTCAATGTGGATATTTTCAGGGACTTATCCGTTTGTAACGTCATCTAATGCAACAGTTGGAGGTGCCATTACCGGATTGGGACTTCCACCAATGTCGATCAAGAGAGTAGTAGGCGTTACGAAAGCATACTCTACTAGAGTTGGCTCTGGACCATTCCCTACGGAACTGAAAGATGACATCGGCGATAAACTACAGAGAACAGGACACGAAGTAAGATCGTACTTCATTATTGAACAATAAATTTTCGATCCATTTGATCTATTTTCAATTCTTCAGTTGGAACATTTTTTAATATCTGTAGTACTTCATTCGACCTAACAGCATTGTCCAGTCATTATAGCTTTCTCGTGGAGTAATTGGATAGCAGTTACAATCCTCGAGGAGGAATTATGTAACTGGCGATCAAAATATTCCTTACACATTATTAGTAAGACTTGTTAATAGTATAGATGACCTTTGACTGCGAATGTGTGTATTGTCATATTATCACGGGTTAAATGTTTAAAACGTATGCTCAGAAATCGTACGTCACGCTTAAGAAGACGGGAGCTTTGCTTTGATGAGAGATGCCTGGGCCAGATTTTTTGGAAAATTGGAAGTTATCGAAATTTGTTTAACGACGATCAGTTAAAAGACTGATTTATTTCAGGTTGGTGTTACGACGGGTCGTAAAAGACGATGTGGTTGGATTGATTTAGTTCTTTTGAAGCGAGCACATCTCATTAATGGATTCACAGAGTATGTACCTCTGAAATTACTTAAAAAATCATTTTGAGTATTTTTGTTCCATAGTGTTATTTGCACTTTTAAGCATTGCTTTGACAAAGCTGGATGTTCTTGATACATTTGATGAAATCAAGGCAGGCATCGCCTACAGGCTGGGTAAACAACTGTTGAAATCTCCTCCATGTAAGTATTGTTTATATTTGATTTTTTACATTATTTTGTGGAACTGATGTTTTTAGTAAGAGATTATTTTATTAATGGTGCTATTAGAAGATAACATTAATCTGCTCGACTTCATTTCATTCCTCAATACTGCGCTATAAAGTTACCGTGATTTTTAGCCACAATAACTGTTAGATCTTTCAGCGCAAGCATCCGACTGGGAAAAAGTAGAGGTCGAATACCATACATTCAAAGGTTGGAACACACCAATATTAGCTATACGGAGTTTCAATGAACTGCCAGAAAACTGTCGAATTTTCATTGAATTCGTTGAGCAGTATATCGGAGTACCGGTGAAATGGATTGGTGTCGGTGAGGAACGAGAAGCACTGATCCTTCGTAAAGCCTGAAAAGTGTCGCATCAGCAATTCATTGCAAGATCCACATCTTCAAATTCCGACCTCCTATAATCCATATAACTCTTGAGATTTAGAATTATTAATAGTTAATTTCTAGTTTACATATATTTGTTGCAGTTACATCTTGAAATATGTACTAATAGTAAATCATTTGAAATCGATATTATCATGAAGTTTGCATAGTGTTATTACATGCCCAATTGTCATTTGAAATTGCATGTGCATTTTCGCATTTTTGTCTTATATATGATTAAATGCTGCACGTGGAATAGCCATCTTTCTCTTCTCTTTACATGATACTGCAACACTAACAGCAA